AGATCCACACGATCAGTCGAACACCTGCTATCTACCGCACACTCTTGTAGTGAAAAAAATCAAAAGTAAAACAATAATGAAACATGAAAAAGAAATTAGAGCAGATAATTGCAGTTCTTAAATCAAATTCAATTAGAAGAATCTTCAGATTGAACATACTAGCCAACAATTTCTTTTTTTCTAAAAGGGTATAAGAAGCTGACTTTTACCTCTTTCCCACCGTCCTCTCACCCAGCTTTTTCTCTAACTTCAACCAATCACATGGCACCTCTTCTAAAAACAAACCAAAGCACCATTAGATTCTGCAAAATGAATAATAAAAAATCTAAATATAAATTAAACTTTTGAAAGAATTTGAAACTTTGTAGTATCTGGTAGAACATAAATTGTAATAATTGAAAGAATTTGAAACTTCGTAGCCAGTGAGGTTCTACAAAATTTAGTAAAACCAATTGAGGGTGCAGCCGTGAGGTTCTGCAAGGCTAAATTGGAAAATAAAAGAGCGATAAAGAGAGTTAGGGTTACCTTGCGATTGCAGTCGTGAGAGGGTTTGGGAACGAAGAGGATGTCTAGATGAGAAAGAATGAGCTCGTTTGGGGTTAAAGAGAATAAAAGGGATTTGGAATCAGATATAGAGCCAGAGAGGGTTTTGGGTTAGAGAGAGAGTGAGTGAGTTTAGGGTCAGAGAGGACTCTGGCTGCTACACGAAAAATTAGGGGTAGAGTATTCTGGGAATATGAACATTCTAAGAGGGAAAGGGGGAGGATTTTCGCAAGAATGGGGCAGTGATGAAGGAGAGAGAAGAAAGAGAGAGTTTCAGAGGGACTGAAAAAAATTGAGAGGGTGAGGAGAGATTTTTCCAGGAGATGGAGTTTTAGGGTGACAGTTTGAGAGGGAGTGAAAAAATTGAGAGGGAGCTGGAAGTAATTGGGGCAAGAGTTTCAGAGGGAAATGAAGTTTCAGGCAGAGTTTGCGAGGGAGAGCGTGAAAATTTTGGGTTAGTTTCAGAGTGAGTGAAAAAATTGAGAGGGAGTTAGAAGAATTGGGGCTAGAGTTTGAGAGGGAGTTGAAGTTTCAGGGAGAGTTTGCGAGGGAGAGTAAAACTTTTGGGTTAGGGCGTTGACTCAGACTTTAGGCATCAGAGGTAGATTACCAAAAAATGACCCTCTTAAAAATAAAATAAAAACTTATCACTTTAGGCATCTATATTTTTGTAGATGATGCTAAAGGGGAATAAAGCCATCGTCATAAATAAACAAAAATGCGCGCTGATGTCTTTATACCTGTTTAGTATCGTTATTTTCGAAATTGATGCCTAATCTGCTAATAGCATCGATTTCACTCTCTACCGATGCCTATCTAGTGTTGCTGTAAGTGAAATTTGACATAGTGACACCAACCACTCCAATTAGGAACGACCAGCCGTTGCACTTGAATTGTCCAATTTCTCACACCTATTCATTTCGGATCGAGCCCTAAACTTGGGCAACATCGTAATATGGTGGGAGGAATCATTTGGTGAGTTTTGAGTGTATGGAATACAACAACCACTCCAATTAGGAAAGAACTGCCGTTGAACTTGAATTGTCCACTTTCTCACACCTATTGAATTCGGATCGAGCCCCAAACTTGGGCAACATCATAATATCGTGGGAGGAGTCATTTGGTGAGTTTTGAGTGAAATCAAATCGCTAGAAGTATGGAATACAACAACCACTCCAATTAGGAACGAACTACCGTTTGAACTCGAATTGTCCAATTTCTCACACCTATTGATTTCGGATCGAGCCCAAAACTTGGGCAACAACATAATATGGTGGGAGGAATCATTTGGTGAGTTTTGAGGGTATGGAATACACCAACCATGCCAATTAGGAACGAACTGCCATTCAACTTGAATTGTCCAATTTCTCACACCTATTGATTTCGGATCGAGCCCAAAACTTGGGCAACATCATAATATGGTGGGAGGAGTCATTTGGTGAGTTTTGAGTGAAATCCAATCGCTAGAAGTATGAAATACACCAACCACTCCAATTAGGAACGAACTGCCGTTGAACTTGAATTGTCCAATTTCTCACACCTATTGATTTCGGATCGAGCCCAAAACTTGGGCAACATCATAATATGGTGGGAGGAGTCATTTGGTGAGTTTTGAGTGAAATCCAATCGCTAGAAGTATGGAATACAACAACCACTCCAATTAGGAACGAACTGCCGTTTGAACTCGAATTGTCCAATTTCTCACACCTATTGATTTCGGATCGAGCCCCAAACTTGGGCAACATCAAAATATGGTGGGAGGAGTCATTTGGTGAGTTTTGAGTGAAATCCAATCGCTAGAAGTATGGAATACACCAACCACTCCAATTAGGAACGAACTGCCGTTGAACTTCAATTGTCCAATTTCTCACACCTATTAATTTCGGATCGAGCCCAAAACTTGGGCAACATCGTAATATGGTGGGAGGAGTCATTTGGTGTGTTTTGAGTGAAATCCGATCGACAGAACGAAGAATTACCCGAAGCACTCGAATTTGGAACGAATTGCCTTTGAACTTGAATTGTCCAATTTCTTACACCTATTGATTTCGGATCGAGCCCAAAACTTGGGCAACAACATAATATAGTGGGAGGAGTCATTTGGTGAGTTTTGAGAGAAATCCAATCGCTAGAAGTATGGAATACACCAACCACTCCAATTAGGAACGAACTGCCGTTGAACTTGAACTATCCAATTTCTTACACCTATTCATTTCGGATCGAGCCGAAAACTTGGGCAACATCATAATATGGTGGGAGGAGTCATTTGGTGAGTTTTGAGTGAAATCCAATCGCTAGAAGTATGGAATACACCAACCACTCCAATTAGGAACGAACTGCCGTTGAACTTGAACTATCCAATTTCTTACACCTATTGATTTTGGATCGAGCCCAAAACTTGGGCAACATCATCATACGGTTGGAGGAGTCTGTTGTGTTTTGAGTGAAATCCAATCTCCAGAACTACGAATTACCCCGACCACTCAAATTTGGAACGAACTGCCTTTGAACTTGAATTATCCAATTTCTTACACCTATTGATTTTGGATCGAGCCCAAAACTTGGGCAACATCATAATATGGGGGGAGTAGTCATTTGTTGAGTTTTGAGTGAAATCCAATCGCTAGAAGTATGGAATACACCAACCACTCCAATTAGGAACAAACTGCCGTTGAACTTGAATTCTCCAATTTCTTACACCTATTGATTTCGGATCGAGCCCAAAACTTGGGCAACATCATAATATGGTGGGAGGAGTCATTTGGTGACTTTTGAGAGAAATCCAATCGCTAGAAGTATGGAATCCACCAACCACTCCAATTAGGAACGAACTGCCGTTGAACTGGAATTGTCCAATTTCTCACACCGACTGATTTCGGATCGAGCCCAAAACTTGGGCAACATCATAATATGGTGGGAGGAGTCATTTGGTGACTTTTGAGAGAAATCCAATCGCTAGAAGTATGGAATCCACCAACCACTCCAATTAGGAACGAACTGCCGTTGAACTGGAATTGTCCAATTTCTCACACCGACTGATTTCGGATCGAGCCCAAAACTTGGGCAACATCATAATATGGTGGGAGGAGTCATTTGGTGACTTTTGAGAGAAATCCAATCGCTAGAAGTATGGAATCCACCAACCACTCCAATTAGGAACGAACTGCCGTTGAACTGGAATTGTCCAATTTCTCACACCGACTGATTTCGGATCGAGCCCAAAACTTGGGCAACATCATAATATGGTGGGAGGAGTCATTTGGTGACTTTTGAGAGAAATCCAATCGCTAGAAGTATGGAATCCACCAACCACTCCAATTAGGAACGAACTGCCGTTGAACTGGAATTGTCCAATTTCTCACACCGACTGATTTCGGATCGAGCCCAAAACTTGGGCAACATCATAATATGGTGGGAGGAGTCATTTGGTGACTTTTGAGAGAAATCCAATCGCTAGAAGTATGGAATACACTA